TAGAGGTGGTGCTGTATGATTGAAGTACATCAAGTTCAGTTTTCAGCCATTTCTGGACTCAGGAGGAGAAGCAAACTGAAATCAACAAGAGCATTTCCACAGATTTCACTGGGTATTTCATTAGCCTGTCAATCTCTAAGCCTCATTTTCCCATCACCCCACCCTGGAAAAGCACTCTTTGTTGATCTACCTAGTGCACACATTGACTGGGAAAGGGCTGCTTTTTCATTCGTTGCTCATACAGCAATTAGCACAATGAGTATCAAAATTCTGCTTAGGACTTTTGTATATATGCTTATACACAAACAAGTGAAGGAGGTTGCTTCCTATGTGACCAAAGAATCCTACTGTACTGTGAATTTGTCAGCTCTGGACATGTCTGCAAAAGGCCCTTTGAAATCAGTAGAACAGTCTTTTCCACAAACCTGCTTTTAAGATTTCTAGGATAGCTTGAAACTGTGGCCTCTTGGAGCTGCTTAAAATCTTACCAAAATAACAAAATACAAGACTCAGACTAAAATGTCTTTTTAAAAAATCATTATCACCATAGAAGGAACTAAAAACTTCTCAAGACCACATTATTTCTGACACAGAAAGTAGAAGGATTCTGAAAAGGTGTCCTGACCCCAAGTTCATCCAGAGAAGATGCTGCTGCTTTTCCATATTTATTGATCACTTGTTTATTTTTAACTCAGCTCTCATGCCTTTGGTTTTTTTTGATGCTTTTCTACAAGTCCATTGAGCCTGAAGAGTTTAGGTGAAATTAGGTTCACAAGCTAAGCTGTTTCCATTGCCTAAATTCCTAAACACTTATAAAGGAGTCTATGGGGAATTATTAAATAAATTTTTTATATAATATATAGATATAATATATATGTATAATATATATAAAATTTATAAATAAATAAATATATATATACTGAGATTGCCCTAAAGACAGTCAGCTATTTTACCCCATAGTGGTTTCTCTTTACATGTTCTGCACATCCATGAATGCTCCTTTTGCACACACACTGGCAAGGGTGTGTATGTCTGCTCATCCAACTGCTGCCTGTCTTTCCAGGCATGGGGCCAAATAGACCCCAAGGAAGACAGAGCATGGAGCCTTCTGTAAGCAGTTTCCACAGCATCTTTATCTACTTGGTTTATTTCTTGTATGCAAACCTGTGCATGCACTTAATTTTTTCTTTTTTTGTTTTTTGGGTTTTTTTAACATAATTTATCCACATTTCTTTTTCAGTTGACATATTTTCATTTCCATTTGTTCATTTCTGGAACTGTTGTATTTTCAGTTGATTTCATAGGTGGACTTGACACATACTCCTACCGACAGCCCCCCCAGGAACATGTTGAGTTAAAGCCTGTAAAGCCTGTAGGTAAGGTTCTGGTCCCACGGACCACATTAATCCTTCTAACTGAACTGAACTGAAAGCTAACCTTCTCCTAAAATAATTTGAGCATCAGATTACTGATAATTTAATTATATTTTAATTAGGACTTAATTAAAAATTAATCCACATAAAACATTCGAGTAAGGACGCTTTGTCATTGATGGCATATCTGCTAAAGCCAGGATTAGCGATATCACCATGTCTGGCGCGTCGTGCCTCATCTTAACGCAAGGAGAGGCTCTCACTGAAGGATGGAATTGCTTCCTTGCTGAATTTTTAGCAAGAAGAGAGCTGGTTTATAGCTTCTGTGGCTGCAGAAATCTTAATGAGATTAACCCGTTTATAGAAAAGCAGTAGTTTTTACATTTGTCTAGCTACTGAAAGAAAAAGTTTTGCTGAAAAACTGCTTAACAGCTTAAAATCTACCTATAGAGTTTCACTGGAACTTCATTGTCTCTTTGTCATCACTTATTTGCTTGCACCATGAAAATCACATTTTCATAGACTCTTCCTGCTTTGCTACCTAATGAATAAGTTTGAATGCATATCTATTCTTTTTATTTGGAAAAAAATAGGATATGGGGAGACATTCCTAGTATTGGTTTTTGGCAGAACCTCATATAACTTGAAGTAGATGATTTTTCAAAGTAGTATTGGTAAACCAGAAGTTGTTAATTTGGAAATTCTTTATGGCTGGAACTTGTGATGTTGCTCTCTGTCTTTAAATTTACCTTTGGGCCTTTCATGCCTCTTAAATGCAGCATGAAATGCATATACAGCTAATTGACTGAAACTAATTTAATGACTTACTCTATTTTACTTATCAGTTAACAAAATTAGAATGGGTTGAAGGTTTTTCCTGGTGTATGCATGTGTACACGTGCTAGGGGTTTTAATTTAAAATGGAAAATTGCTAAAAATTGCTTGGGGTTGGAACTTGACATCTGAACTTCGTAACTTTATTAATTTTTTCAGGTTTATAAAATCTATTTTATTCATGATACAGCTTTCAATTTGTAGAAATAAACAGAGACAAATTTTTACTAAAAATTTATCTAAATGCTATAGAATTATGAAGGCCCAAAATGATGGTGTATACTAGAACAGGAACAAATAACACATTAAGACAACTAAATAAAATTATGAACCCTTTGACTTTTGACTAAGTACATGCTCTATATTGAAGTTTACTTTTTTTTAGTAATTTTTCATTAAATGTCTATTTTGCTGTATTTTCTGTCAGAAAGATGACTGCAAAATGGGGGTTTGAACCTTCTGAATAAGCTGCTAGAGTATAAAGTTACATTGATATTCAGGAGCAAGAGGGCCACGCCAGCAGCATTTACACCTCTGAATAAAAGATTTTAATCTCTAAACCTGCATTCAGATTAGTTATAAACATCAAGTGCATAAATGTTCAGTACTTTCTTAGCAAACTTGGTATAATTAAAGAAGAGAATAAAAGATATATTCATGAAATGATTACAAGTAGATTCCTGCAAAATATATTCATTTGTTTTGCAGTAGAAAAGTCCTAGCATCAGAGAATTTATTCTTTGATAGGAGATTTTTGATAAATAGCTCAAAGGATTTGGGGGTTGTGGGTGATCTAACAGTACTGGAGTGTAAGGGTTATCTTCCCATTTCCTATGAATGTGTGTCCTTGTACTACTGGGACGGGCCTCTCTGCCCTCTTTATTGCTTGAAAGAGTACAAAACTAGGACAGAAATTATATTGGGTTTCCTTCTTTATTGATGTTTTGGTTGTATGTACTGAAAGATATAGAGGACCTTTATCTAAGCTGGGAGGGAAATTACTGTTAGTGATCAGAGTGATCAGAATCTGAAGCCAAAATGCTGGAAATTATTTTGTCATTGGATTGTGCCAGAATTTGCAGATACTTATCTCTCTGCAGCACATTAGCCTTCTTGACTTCTTTTGGTAAGTTAATTGCTATATGTATGTTATATACAGTCTGAAAATTCTTAGTATCTCTAAAAAGTGACTCCTGGTGTCCAGGCTGTGGAAACCTCTTTCTGATAGTTAGAATTCTCTTAGAATTGAACATGAATAATGCTTGTAAAAACACATTAAAAGCCTTTATAAATGTTGCTTTATAGCTGAAAGTTTGGCTATATTTCCTTTTTTCTCATCCCTTTTATTTCCCTTATTTCATTCATAAATTAACTAAACATAGCCTGTTGAAAATACAAGGCTCTGTGGTCTCATCCAAACGATGCAGAAGACAGTCTGCTTTTATCAAGTGCTCACATTCAGTGTAATGCCTGCTTAGTGCTACCATAATTATTAATGATTAGCAAGACTAAGATTAGTTTTCCTTCTCACCTCTGGGAAGAAGTTAAATTTGAACTTGTTCCCATGGGGAACAATTTTTAATCCAGCTATGAATGATCATGGCTTGCCTGTTTGCTCTTTGTTCAGCCTGTAACTCCGTTGGACTACGGGACAAGGAGAAGCAGGATCTCTGCCCTCAGCCATGTAGTTTCAATTAAGATGTGTGTAAGGCAGGAGGCAGCAGGGGGAGTAGAAAAAAAATCGTATTCTCTTTGGGACTAAAGCATATGGACTATGAATAAGACTCTTGTGCCTGTTTGAATAAAGTGTCAACAGCCAGGTCACTCAGTAATATTTAGAAACCATGTACTGATATATGGAAATGAGAGGAGCATGGAGGCTACAAGGAAAAAATAAGAAGCTACATTTTGGCTTGCATTAGAGGTTAATATTAATAATAATTATATTATAATATATGTTAAAATATAATATCATAATCATGCTGTAATAAGAACAATGTACTAATATAATAATGAAAATTTTAATTATAATTGTAATTGTAGTAATAATAACAAAATAATATAAAACTACTACAGCTTTGAGCAACTCTATCTGGACAGACATCGAATCCCTAATTCCAGTTAGGGATGTCCTTAGCCTTTTTAAGAATATTACTGATTTGTGCTTGTGGAACTGGTCCACTCTATGAAAAACTGTGCCAATGGAGAGTCACCACTCCACGATGCATCTGTGTGATCCTGTCCTGTTTGTATCTTCTCTTGAGACTTTACCCATCTTTAAATTGCTCTGAAAGACCAACATAGATTTTCCAAGATTACACAAGTGAAAATGGTTACAAGGAGTCATGTGAGAAGACACAGATTCAGCAAGTGTGTCACTTTGGTGAGGACTATAAATAGCGTGAGTCCAGCTCAAATGCTCATGTTTGTAATCAGATCACTTCAGAATTTTATAACTGGGTAAAAATATGTCTCATGCTGTTGAAATATACTATGCTAAAATGAATCTATTATTGTTTAAGCTTCAGATTTGCTTTACCAGCTATGGGACTTCTCCCAAATGTTTTTTACTTTTGTGGTATGCACAGTACAAAGCTACTGCTTTGTACCCAGCCATTCATTCTTGACCATATAGATGAGTCTCACAGCTGGTGAAATTAGTGACCACATGAGATTTAGCCACTTGTTTTTTAGTTACTAATTTCTCAGCTGGTATGAATTTACAGCTTACAAATTAGAAGATATAAAAAATAGATTTTCATTTTTAAGTAATTCTTATCTCCTGTTTTTTAGGTAGAAGTAAGTAATGAACATGGACTCAAGACTTCTGCTGCTGTAGCTGAAGAAACAGATTTTAGAAAAGAAGACCAACCTTGTGACTCATTGTTCTGGAAGAAACTCACCACATCTGTTCCTCACAGCATGTGGATTGTTCTTCCCACAGGCTCAGTGTCATTATCAGCGTGGTTATTTCGTAGCTCCTTGTAGATGATCTTGAATTTTTAAATAATTTACTTATATGGACACTTGTAAATTGTAAATTCTTTTCTTTTTTAATTTCAATATTTTTACAATGTTTGGTGTTGAGGCATGAAAACAAAACAACCTGTGAAGACTAGGAGAAGGGTGTGTCTTTCTCAAAAAGTCAGTATTTTTTGACTGAGAGGATCATACTGTGCCTGGTAAAGATTGTGTCAGTAAACAGTAATTTTGACTCCAAAATATGCATCAGGAGTCAAACCCTAACAGTGTTCAAGAAATCATTTCAACGCTGTCTTTAGAATTCACAATGTCCACTCCTTGCATTGTTTGAACTGCAGAATGCAGTAGTTGATCTCTTCTTACCCAGATGTTCAAGCACTAATGTACTGAACCTAATTATTGCAATTCGTATATGACTCCTCCTTTCCTAATCTGTTTTGCCCCAAGTCCATCTCGGGTAGCTGTCTCTGATTTGAAGAGAAGTAGGACTGCTGCTTAATGGATGTCCATCTCTAGGAACCCTTACACCCAGGGCTGTTTAGATGTCTGTGATTTGCACATTTTTAAACTCCTTTCCTCCCTTCTCCCAGGAAGAAGCCAAGCATGAATGTACAATACAAGGCACCAACTGAAGCCTTAGAAGCCTCTGGGGACTAATTTTTCCCTTAATTTAAAAGTAAACAAGCAAAACTGAAAAATGCGTGTAAAAATTTGTAAAGTTATTTGTAAATACTTCTAGATGAAGAACATGTACGTAATTGTGGTATTTTGTTTTCTATTCTGTCACCACTAGCATAAAGTGATACACAAAGCTATTTTCTCTGGAGAGCTGGCAGTCTTTTTAACAGAACACTTTGTTTCTTTCATCTTAATTACAATATAAAGTGCTGTGTAGATTTGTATGCCCCAGAGAGTCTCGTCTCTCTACAGAGCCTATGTGCCTCAACATTGAGCAGAAACATCATGAGGGTTTTGAGCCTGTTTGTGATTTTGCACTTTTTTCACTTAAACATTTCATTGGTAGGACAGCCAGGAAGGCTGTTCCTTCTGATATGTGTTTCTCTACCTCTGCACCAGAGGCTGAACAGCTCTTCCATAGATACCCTGAGAAATCTTCAGCTGATCTAAACAACATTTAGGTCCTAAATTTGCAGTCTTCTCTTCTGTTGTGTATTCTCAAGTCTGAGCAGGTGAGAGCTAGAAGAAAGCTTGTCTTGATTCTTTCCCTCCTAAAATCTGTTATTTACCAATATGAACCTATTGGGGATACTAAAAAATACAATGGAAGTAGAGTCTAATATTTTCAGGCGACCAGGGTCTTGTCCAGGGTACATCCACCTGCTTTCCAGTTGGTTAACTTAAAGACCTCACTGACTTTGGAGAAAACACAGCCTGAACAGGTTAACCTTCCCTGAAACTTGAGTATGATGTAAGTATTAAGACAAAGTCAACAAGAAATGGCAACTGAAAAAAATCCCCTTCTTTAGTGTTCCTGGGGCTGGATATACCTCATATAAAACCCTTCATCTGAACCCAGTGCTGCCCTCAGGACCAAGTAGGAGGATCAGGAATGAGTGCTGCACCCTCCTTGATGGCACAGGTTCAACACACAGTTCTGGCAGAGGTTTGGAAGTGTGTGTTTGATTTTCTGCCAAGGCATGTCTGCTGGACCACGTTTTACAGAATTGTCTAAATGTGTCTAAAACCTGTCCTTCTGTCCTTCAGAATAGGGTTCTTTTCACAGGTCCTTCAGAACTGTGTACATATCACAAAAATTCTGCAAAGACAGAACCTGAGTTCTCTTCCATTTGAAATATTGACCACCTTTTAGCTAGGGAACACAAATAAGTATATCCCAAATCAGAATCATTACCAATACAGTGAGTTGCCATCTGTCTCACTTAACAAACAGAACAATCCTGATTGAGAAGAATTTGTCTTCATTAGAACCAGCCAAAATGCAGACTGAAATGCCAAAGGAAACTGTCATTCTTTTCTAAGCTGAGACACCCAAAATAGTATCAATCAACCTGTACATGTTAGGGTAAAAAAATCTTGAGAATAATAAATGCATTTGACTGCTAATTGCCATGTCCTGTAATATAGTAGGACATATTGGCAAACATTTTTATAGGAAGCCTTGAGTAATAGTTCCTTTATTTTTGCAAAACATACTTTCAGTAAGGTGTTAGGTGAGTCCCAGATCAGCCAGCTACATAGGAAATAAATGTTGACTCTCTAAATAAACTTGGAAAGTTTTCCTAAGCTTAACTGAACCATGCAATTTCAGGAAATGACTAGGTTTGTACTGCAAAACACAATTTGCTGACAATCTTAAAACCTCAGAGATTATCAGTTGCTACAAACTGTTCTGGTGGCATTAATAAGTCATACTGTTACACTTTAGGGCAGCTGAAGATCTGTCAAAAGTTTTTTTTCTTTTCCTGAGTTTCTGTTTAATTCTAGTTTTTTAGAGAATCAGATTTGCCCCAGTACTTTAGCTGACAGTAAAAGTGGGGATGAGACTGCAGAAATGTGGCACTGCATGTTCACTAAGGACTGAGCCAGGTACCATCAGTTTCTTAAAAGTGCAGATGATGTCTTGAGGATCTGAAAACAAAAACTGTAGCAAGAAATTAACAGATTTTTGCCTGGTGCAGTGACTTACTGTGATTATATATTACAGTTTATGGGATTATTGATTGGACTCTTTCATATCCATAGAGATTTTTTTACATAAAATTTGAAGTTTTTTGAAATTCAGTTTTGATCTGAAGGAATTTTCTAAAGTGAAAGACTTCACAGCTTTTATTGGCTGAAGGGTGTTTTCTTTAGTGCTAAAATATAGATTATTTATATTATTATAAGATTATTTATATTGTTATAAGATATAATATTAACTATTATGGACAATTTTCAGTTGAGCTCTATCAGTTAAACCCATGGGAATTGATGCCTGGTTTTATTCAATAACTTCTTTCAGTAGTGCAGGTGACATTGTCCAGAGAAGAGCAACAAATCTGGTGAAGGGTCTGGAGCACAAGTCTTTGAGGAGCAGTTGAGAGAGAGCTGTGGTTGTTTAGGCTGAAGGAAAGGAGTCTCAGGGGTGATCCTATGACTACAACTCCCTGAAAGGAGGTTGTAGCCAGGTGGGGTTCAGCATCTTCTCCCAGGCAGCTAGTGATTGGATGAGAGGATATAGTCTTAAACTCTACCAGAGGAGGTTTAGGTTAGACATTAGGAGCAATTTCTTTACAGAAAGGGGGATAAGACATTGGAATGGGCTGCCCATGGAGGTGGTGGAGTCACCATTCCTGGAAGTGTTTGAGGAAGGGCTGGATGTGGCACTCAGTGCTATGGTCTAGTTCACATGGTGATATTTGGTCACAAGTTGGACTCAATGATCTAAGAGGTCTGTTCCAATCTATTTGATTCTGCAATTCTGTGATTAAGACAATGGTATTTACTGTATATTATTAATTGGAATTTGAAGCTAGGGCTCTGGTTGCTGGTTAGCATGAGATAATACTAACTTTTCTTATTTAAAACCTGAGAACACATAGTTGGGTCACTAAGAAGCCTGTAGTTCTGCACCAAAAAAATGGTAGATTTTAGCCCAAACAACTTCAAGTGTAGGCTTTCTTTCTTCACAGCTGCCATGCAAGACTCTTCTCCATGTTTGGACCCTGAGTCTCACCTCTTCCTCCAGCTGCACACAGCTCAGGCATTGCAACACCATTGTCACCTCTGAGCACCATGTTGGCAGATGCAACCTTTTTCTCAACACTGACTGCAATGTGCTTCTCTGCACCCAGCTGCCTGCCTGTCTTTCATGTGGGGATTAGCAGGCTGAAAAAGCCAACCCAGCAATCTATCAAGGTCCTTTAACAGACTTTGACAGTGGAAAACAAAAATTGGCATCCCAAACTAATTGGCTTGCCTCCTTCCAGTATCAGCCTCATCTAGTTTAATTAAAACAAATTACAACCTGGCAGCTCTTTTAGACAAAAAATTTCAGGTTGGAAAAATGTTTCTTCCATGTTAAAGCTTCAATATCACCAGTATGTTTTTCACAAATGAGTTCATCTCTTACCTGCTATTCTGGGCATTTTGACAGAAACCTTAGTGCCCAACACAGTGATGAGGTTATGTTGTTGCATGCCACAATAGCACTTTTACAGCAGGGTAGCCAGGTTGCGTCCTGAGGTCATGTCAGATGGGTTAGGGTTGCATTAAGTTGGAGGCTGCCTTCATCAATGCAGCCCTAAAGAAGTGGTTTCTCTCCTGACTCTGCCCAGGGATCTGACTATCCCTGCAACCATAACTGGGGATCAGCCTGAAAGATTCATTAGTTTGCAGAGGCTTTGTGAGCAAACTAATACATGTGTTATAGATAATCAGGGAATTCAGATCTGTGAAAATGGGCCCATAAAGAAAGATCTTTTATATCAAGACTACTGCTGCAGTGTTTGCCCCTTAGATCTATGTCTGCATTGCCTGCTGGCAGTGTGCTCCCAGCATGTCAACTCTGATCACCCAGCATCAGCAGCAGCACTCTGCTTCACTGCAAGGGGGCACAAGGCTGTTCAGGACCCTAAATAATTATTTAGCAAAGGACACAGCTCTAGCCTGTACTGCTTCCTGTTTGACAGCTACCTAGAAGTTGTGCTGCTTTCCCCAGGCTGACAAACCATCTTTATTTATCTGCTGATAAATGACAGTTTCTTGCCATAATTTCCACTTCCTTCACAGAAGTCATAGTTTGATTCTCTTTGATTTTAAACAAATTAAACATCTGGATTTAATCCCTGCTTCCACATGAGTACCTGCTCATCAGTCACACAACACAGTCCTGGATATGACAGCTTTGTGGAATAGCTGCCCTTGCATGGTCTGTTGCCTCTCAAAACCAGCAACACACTGAAGATAGTCTCACTAAGCAGCAGCCATGCATAAATAATCCCAGTAATGCAAAAAAGATTCTCCTTGTTTTGCCTATTCCCCTAGGACCCAATATCACTTCTTCAAGCTTTCTGTCCCAGTTTCCTATTTATTTCACACCACCCAAATGCAACCATGCTTTCAAAACACTCCTGTAAGTCAGTGCCAAGCAGACTTGCTGAAGCTTGACTTTTAAGTTGGCTGCATGTGATTCCAAGACTAGTCTAATTTCTCATTTTCCACAACATTGCATACCTGCGCTATTAGTAGAGCATCATATACAAGGAGGGGTTACAGCATCCCCTAGCACGTGATGTATTTGGAATAGAAACTGTGCTACACATGAGCAAAAACATCAGCTTCCCGTGTTGGCCCATAGTATTCATAAAATGTCACTGGTGTGTTCTTATACTGCTTTATCTGCATAGCCAGAACCGGGGTGGCAAGCAGGTAGAGTCCCAAGTGCTGGGGCAAATGCAAGCCAACAGCTTGTTTAAACAACTTTGATCTCATATTTATAACCCACACGGCAATTTCTGGGTTCTCTCGTGACAAGCAAAGCTGCCTGGCTTATAAACTGCAGCCAGACCTTCAGGTATGTGATAATGAGTAACCTTCTATGCCACTCAAACACACACACACACAGACAGAGATATTTTAATAGTCATGGTTTGGTTTCTAAAGACTTTCTAATTCAAATAAATTCCCTAAAGTTTAGAGGAGGATATGTCTGGGCTGCTGCAGGAAGTTTTCCTCCAAGCATTTGGAGATTTGGAGAATAACACCAGTGGAGATCATTGCCCACCCATGGAAGCACCCCCAGGACCCATCCTGGTGCCAGCACTGGCTGGCAGCTCTGGAGGACACCCGAG